GGCAGCCACAAAAAAAAAAAGTTTCATAACATTCTCCTTCTTAACTCATTCCTTTTTTGGCATGTGTAATGCAAGGAGTATTTGCAGTCAAACAGTTCACACTGACCAATGTATGTACGTACTGACTATGATCAGCACATACTGCTGTCGCCGTGAATCTTTGTGTACGCTCTGTGGGTTTATTGTTTGAGCTCCAATTTGAATTGCTTGCTACTACTATGAGCCTGCAATATGGTGTGACTCAACAAACAGCACGAATGATTTACTGCCGATCAAAGCAAAAACTTCACTCGTAACAAGGTAGTTTCTGTAGGTTGTAAGTCCAGTGTTTGTGATCCCTGATGGTTTTCCCTTTACTGCAGTACACAATACAAATTTAAATCCTGAGGGCATGATGGCCAAAGGGTGTTCATTGTGGCCTTGGATTTTAGCACGATTGTAAATCTGCTTAAAGATGTAGAATTCTGCATAAACATAAAGTCTCAAAATACACCCTAAAATTCTATTAGGTTTACTACTTACAACAGAGCACTGTTTTGACAGTTTGAGTGATTCATCCATCATTAAAGATTTGGGTGATTAACTTAACTAATCAATATAACTGATTACCTATGAGCATCAACTAATATCACTTAAATTAATCACAATTACTGTTTCCAATTAATACTATCTTCGATTATTTCAACTATTTAAGTAATGGAAATACTGCCATTATTATTTTTGATTAATTGAAGGTTGTTCTTAATTGATTAATGTCACAATTCATGAAAGTAATCAACTATTTGAAATTAGTTTTTACAATTACTACTATTTGATATTTTCCAACTATCCAAGTCTCAATTAGTTGAATGTAATCGATTATCAAATTCCACCCACATATACAAGATCCTTTTCTTCAGTCACATTATTTAGTAGGTTCCCACTTATATTAAATTAGTAATCCAAATTATAAGTTACATATATATATATATATACTTCTTTTTGTTTACTTACTATTAACTCTTTCGACCCAGGCTTGGTCCCTTGGACTGACCTCGTAACCATTTTGTGCTTATTATAGTTTTTATGCTATAACTTTTAAATTAGTTAGCGAATGTTAACAAAATTCAGCAGTTTATCAGTAAACATTACAATGCTTTCATACGCAAAATATCTAATTTTTTTATATTAAGTCTTAAGGTTTGTAAAGCAATGTTTCTCTCGTACCTTTTTTTCTTTTCACATCTTGTCTATCTATCATGCAAAGTAATTTTCATTTTAATATAAAAAATATTTTTATGCATCAGAAAATTTTTAAATTTCACATGCAAAATCTTTATAATGTCCAGATAGTTTTCAAACATTTTTTAAGAAGAAACATTATATATTTGTCAGTTATTTTCAGTAATTAATCTCTGTACGGGTTCGGTAAATTTGACCGATCTTGCAACCACCATAACAAATTAATAAATAAACATAAATTATGCCCCTTTCATTCTAGAATGAACACAAATTATAACACCAAAACATAAATGTTTAGAAGAAATAGCTTGAATCTCATAAGATTATACATTTATATATATTTATTATTTTTGTTATATTGACCTTTCACCAGTGCCTGGCTAACAATACAGAAGTTACAATGACGTGGCTCATGTTACCCTATCAAATAACATAAAGGTGACCTTTGGTCTGTATAAAGTAACTTGTCTTGGCTGTTATTTTTCCTAAAACATAGAACAGTAAATAAATAAGTAAAGCAAACAATTATCTCTTCTACTTATGACCTTTGTACTCGGTTGCTGCTTGATGTAGGTTGCTAAGCCTTTAAGAATTTTGCACATGGAGGATAAAAATATTTTCTTAGGTTATATATATATATATATTTTTGAATAACTAAATAATCATAAATTACTATATTGATACCATAGAATTCTACTATAACTTATCAAGCTTAGTAACTAAGCTGTATTTGGGTTTAAAAAAATATGAAATTTCGAGCAGACTAAAGACACAACCTATATCATTGAAATCTTGATTCAAAAGAAATGGCAGAAGGAATGTTAGAAAGGCAGAGAATATCATTAAGGGAACATTCTGAGTTTCCAATTGGTTATTTATGTCATATATAGAAGTAAGTGTATATAAGGGAGCATTTCCAAAAATGGAAAGAGGTAAGCGGGGTGCCACTGTGTTTGATTTATTACGTGAGCAATATCTTAGCAAATAGAAAAGATAAAACCTTATTATTTTATATTCTAGCTTGTCAATATCTGTAATTTGAGTTTCAAATTTGAATGAAACTATAGACATAGTATTTTGACTTCACAAACATCTAATATGAACCAGTGCTGCATTCAACATACCATGTGACACACAAAAATCAATGTTTTATATTCTAGCTAGTCTATATCTGTAATTTGAGTTTCAAATTTGTATGAAACTATAGACTTAGTATTTTGTAACACACAGAAATCAAGGTTTATCTGCATTTTTTAATATTTACTTTGAATTAACAAACTGAGTAATATATAGTTCTAAAATTTGAATTATAATCTACAGTTTGATACCAAACCTATTAACATAATTTCATGAATTAGTAGTTCAATAAAATTTTGAATGCGAGTCAACAAACGAGATGACATGGCCTTTCACCTGTGACCCGTCTCGAAAGGGTAATCAAAGTTCATTTGCCAAATATTTTTCCAACTACCAACTGATCCAAATCACTTTGCAATACCTGATTATCATGAATACAACTAGAAATAGGCAAGAACTGAAGGTCATCAGTAAATGTTAAATAATCTATGCACCTATCAGTATTATTGATATTATAAATAAGAAAAAGCAAAGCACTGGCCCCTGAGGCACCCCAGAGGTAACAAGAGTTCCATTCTGATTGGAATGCATTAGTAACAACCTTTTGTTTACTCTCATCCAACTACACTACAATTAACTAACTTTCTCTCAGACCATCAATATGATTTTCTGAGCTAATCTTTCATGTGGCACCTTAAAAGTATTTTTGAAAATCCAAGTACATTAAGCTCATACCCTTTTCATCATCCAGATAACAAATAACATTCTAAAAATTATAAAAGATTAGTAAGACAAGATTTCTCTTTAATGAATCCATGTTGGCTTTTGTTTATAACACTTCATTAGGTAATTTTTATAAAGTTTCTTTCATCTCTTTCTAGAATTATTCCCATACAGAAGTGGGATTACAAAATATACAACTTCCAAGCAACAGTTATCAACCCCGATAGAAATAGGAGTGTATTTTTTTTTAAGTAAAATAATTATTGTTTTCTGTGTCTAATTATTTTTATAATTTAAATATTTATTTAACATAAAATGAAGTTTAAAAAGAAAAAGTGACAGGCATGTTTTGGTCCGCCTAGGCTGTCCCAACCATTGACACATATATATATATATATATATATAAAGCAAAAATCCTAAACACAGCCCTACCATTTAAATATTTATCAAGCCTTCTCTTAACCCCCTTAAACTTACTTGCATCACATCAAATCTGAAGGAAACCCATTTAGTGCCCTCAAGTCCTACCATTCTCATTATTAAGTACAAAGAAGACAATGCATCGACATTATCAATTACCTTAACATTCTTAAACACCTAAATAAGGTCCCCTATAACTTTTTCCCCTAAGAGAAAACAATTTTAAAGGTTCTTTGATAGATTATTTAGGCAAAGTTTTCATGTTGAGTAAGTTGGAATGGATGGCAACTGCCTGTTGTAAAAAAAAACACAAGTGTACAAGACAATGTTTTGAAAGTTGTCTGTCTTTCATCTGACCTGAAGGTGAAATACTTAAGACTTTCAAAACATCCTCTACAGTTGTGTTTTTTTTTTTTTACAATAGGCAGTTATATCCATTCCATTATACTCATCAATTTTAAAGATCCAAATCTGTTCTTTTATGATAACCTTTTCATTCTCATGGCTCTCCTCTGAAACCTTTCCAACAATTCCATGTCTTTCCTAAGATAAAGAGCCCAGAACTGAATACAACATTACACATGAGGCCTAACCAGTGGCATATACACAATGCAAAGTTGTTCTTTTTCTCCATCAGACATACAAAATTTTTTCTCACCAATGTTGTAAGACTAACAATAATATACCTGTAATTACCATAGTAATATCTAACACCTCCCTCATAAATAGGATTACGAGTAGCCAGCTTCCAATATTCTGGCACTTGTCCACTATTCATAGAATGTATATTTTATTAGTCATCACTACTGTTCATCTTAGTTAGCTGTTATTAATTTTCTCTACAAAATTACTACAAGTTTACAGTGTATTCCAATTAAACACACTTAAGTAATACCTTTACTATGACTATTATATACAAATGCTACCAGCATGTCACATACTTACCCAGCATCAGTGAAAGTGTTGAATTTCCAGATTGCTAAATTTTTTTATGTAACTTGTATCAAACAAGACTTTAGAGTTTATTCTAACTGTTACTGTTAGGCTAATAGTACTTGAACTGTGATGTGAATTTCCGCCAAGTAGAAGTTATATAAATAACAAGCACATTATATTAAATTCTTATGACATTAGAAATGGTTTACTATAACTATAAGAACCTTGCTCAACCATTATCCATTCTTAAAAATAACTGAATACTCAGAACAGTGAATAAGTAAATTGACTATAATATTTCAACTTTAAATATTATAAAATAATGTTTAGTTGTTGTTAAAAAGTGTAATTCATCTACATTGATCATTATAATATATATATGTATTATTAATATACCGTTATGCATTCTTGCATTACATATCGCCGAGATTTAGGGAAAGATCATACTTCATAGCCTGAGTTAACTAGCACATCTGGCAAATTAGGCCTAAAAGTAGTAAACATGAATAGAGAAAAATATTTAGTCTTTAGGCTTAACGAAGTCGTGTCTCACTTTACGTGTATCGGTTTACCAAAAAATATACAATATATGGATCCTAACTGACTAAAATTCAGACTTTTACCTTTCCAGAATTGGATACTTCTCAAAAAATAATAAATTTAATAGTGTTTCACTGAAAATCAGGCTAACGATGAAACATTTTAAATGTCACAAAGGCAAAATAACTCTCTAACTAGTGATATGTGCTATTGGTAATTACGAAAATTCCCGAAACGAAAGGATTTAAAAAAACAGGGTCACTGCTTTTAAAAATAGTATATTACTCTTTTCTCCAATCAAATATTATACGATTTCAAAGTAAAAACACTTTCATTAAATACTGTAGATTTTATTAATGTCTAATAACGTAAAGTGTGCTTTTTATGGGAAATAATAAGTATCCGTTTTATTTCACTTCCTTTCAGTCTCATTTTCTGTATACCCAGTGAATGTCAAATAGTTACAAGGGGGATTGTTTCCAAATTAACTTAATATTATCAGCTTATCATCCAGCAAGAGCGTCGTCTTTCAAATTAAAAATAATACTGTAATTATGAGTAAAATTATACCAATTGTATCTAGCATTAGTATAGATAATTAGAATTAGAATTTGATACCTTGGCAAATTATGTAAAAAATGGGTTTACTGTTAGAATTTTTTTTTAATTTTCAAATTATATCAGAAACTTAACTTTTGATGAAAAGTACTTAAAGCTGGTTTTTATATTGATTTATTGTTTACTACTACTCATTTTTATGATGCTATAAACTTGAACGTCAGTATTTTCTTCAAAGACTGCAATATTGTTAATATAATAAGCAAACATGTTTTTATTACACCATTTTGTTTTCAATCATAAAATTCATAACCAAACTGATGCCATTGTCACTAGTTACTAACTTAACTAAGTTACTCCCTTCATATCACGAAAAAATATATTTAAAACAAAGTAGCAGCATCCTCCTCACAACCCAATCCTTAATATCATCAGCATATTTAAATAATTTATTCACCATTCCTTCATCCGTGTCATTGATCTAAATCAAAGAGAGTAAAGGTCCTAACAGTAAGTCCTGAGATTTATAACCTGTGACATTAATCCAGTTTTACTGAACTCTATTCATAAAAAAATCCTGTTTTCTTTCATCCAGCCACTCTTCTATCCAATGAGCCAGTCTATCCCCTCCACAACTAAAGATATCATTTTTAACAAGCTTTTTAGTGGCACCCTATTATATGCTTTCTGAAAATCCAGATACACCAAATCCACACCAGTACCCTCATCTACATAAACAAAAGCATCTTTAAAGAATGTCAAAAGATTAGTAAAGCATGATTTCTCCTAGTGATGCCATGTTGATTACCTAACAAGATTTATTTGTTTGTTGAATTTCGCCCAAAGCTACTTGGGAACTATCTGTGCTAGCCATCTCTAATTTAAAGGTGATAGATACAGAAGGTACGAGTCAATACCACCACCGCCAACTCTTGGGTTACTATTTTACTAACGAAAACTGGGGTTGATAGTCACATTATAATGCCTCCACGTTTGAAAGGGCGAGCTTGTTTAATGATGGGATTGTAACCTGCGACCTGAAGATTACGAGTCGAGCTTCTTAACCACTAGGAACATGCCAGGCCGATTTTCAGTGAAATTTTAAAAAAAGAATTTTACAAACAATCGTTTATCCGACTTTCATAAACCTTTTCCTACTACTGATGTAAGACTGATAGGCTTATGATTAATAGGACAATTTTCTTCACCTCCTTTGAAAAGAGGAGTAACTTTAGCCAACTTTCTATCTTCTGGCACCTGTCTACTATTCATGGACGTACAAAAAATAGTAGTAAGTGGTTCACATATTCAGTCCTTAACATCCTTCAAAACACCGACAAAATATTGTTACGTCTCCGTTCGTTCGTTAATTGATTTTCCGTAAATCCGTTCCAACGAAACTTTAGCGACACAAGTCCTTTCTTAAATAAACTGGTTTATTCTTTCCGAATACAACTTTACCGATACAATTAATTTCAACAGTCGCTCTATAATCAAACGCTATAACTCACGTCTCACGTGGCCAACAATATTTTGTCCGCATACATTCGATTACTCATTACCCCGTCACGTTGTGACCATCTTATATATACCAAATTACCCCCAATCTAGTAGTCTCCCGATAATTCACGAAGGTTCGAGAAGGACGTGGCGTGATACTAGTCACGTGACCTCGCTGACGCAACACTCCTCCCTCCTTAGTATTGTTCGTCCCGAACAATAGCCACTTGCATTAAACCAATAACAATTAACAATAACTTAATTAAATGTACAGAATTACAAACACAAAATTACAATTCAACAAAGTCTCTTAAATTTACGGGACGTATCTTCTTGCGTACTGGTCTCCGTCTCGTTGGCTTGTGCTTCATATGGGGTTCATCTGCTTCATCAGTAAATGTTCTAATTCGTCGATAACAGTCACATCAGTGGTAGTAACTTCATCAAGAGCTTCACCGTTTCCCTTCTCAAAACTGAGTAGAGTTTCTTC